GGCATAATCTCAGGGTCAAAAAAGTAATAATTGGCATGCTGGCACATAGCCTCCATTAGTCAATTACCAATTCAGCACGCATGTGGAGAAAATATGAACCTGAAGATGACACTATATTATTATTATTATTATTACTACTAAATGATACTATCATTTGAAAATAAATTTAGATATAAGTAAGTGAATTTGATTTAATTTAGTAACCACTCTATTGATATATAAAAAATAACTATCAAACAATTTATTATTAGATGGTAACATTTTGTGACAATGATAACGTGATGTTACCGTTAGACTTAATAATTTCTTATGCATGTGAATGGTCTACAATAGTCAAAACTCTATTGCATTACCAAAAGCCGACTCAATAGTTTCTAAAATGACTATAAAAATTGGAGGGTTAAGATGAAATTTCTTTGGGGTCATTACCTCTCAAGCCTATACATTAAGTACAAATTTTGTCCAGCCACAATCAAGTCACCAACAGTGAAGATATATAGAAACCCATTTTTGGGTAGCCAAAGTTTTTTTTTTGGGGTAAATAGATTAAACAAAATAGTTGTGGCTTGAGAATAGTGCAAGTAAATTCCTCGTCTTTGCATACCAAACTTTTTAATTTAATGTGTCTAAGAGAATCTTGGAGTTTAACGATTACAATGTGTCATTGCATACTAATCTTTTCAATTTTAACGTGTCTAAGAAAATCTTGGAGTTTAGCGATTACAATGTGTGTTGTTTATTTGAATGGTGTCAACATGATCAAATAACAGTTCAAGCAAATGGTGCATTCTGTTTTGGAACTATATGTCTCAGTAATCTCTAAAAAAGAAAGAAGGTGCTTCATTAACATTATTCACTAATTGGGTTAATTACAAAATGCCCCCTTAAACTTTGAGTCTTATTTCAATTAGAGTCCGCTGGTTTAAAATTGAACAATTTACCCCCTTTAAGTTCTAAAATTAACAAGTTGACTGATTAATTAAACAAATTTTAAAATTACTTTTGCACCCTTAGCCTTTATTTATCTCCATTTTTTTCCTGTCCCTTTGCTCAATTGAGCCAAAATCTCCAATGCCACCATCCACAACCCATCACAACCACCAACCACCGTAATTGCCAACATAGCTACAATCAACCAGCCCACGAACCACCATAGCCACCACCCAGCCACAACCACCGTAACTACCAATCACAATCAACAAACCATTGTAGCCACCACCCAACCACAAACCACTACAGTCACCACCCAACTAACTAGCCAATAACCCATGCAGCTACCAACGTAGCCACAAACCATTGTAGCAACTACCTAGCCACCCAAACCACCAGCAACAAAACCACCAGATTCACAATGGAGGGGGACAGTTTCGGTGGGGGTGAATTTTGGTTTCAGTGGAGTTGAGGGAAGAGTAAGGGTGGGTTTCGATTTCAGTAAGGGGGGTTGGAGGGATTTGAGTCTCGGTTCAGTTGAAGGAATGATGGAGGTGGGTTTTCGGTTTCAATGGAGGGGTGGGAGGGATTTGGGTTTCGATTCAATGAAGGGGAGAGGGATTAGGGGGTTGAGGGAAGTGAGGGAGGTGGGTTTCAGTGGAGGGGGGAGGGATTTGGGTTTTTCATTGAAGTTGGGTTTTCATTGGAATGGGGTTTTTTCTTTTTCTTTTATTTTTGATTTTTATTTTTATACAAAATCTTAAAATAAGGGTAGTTGTGGGTTTTTGATTAATTTAAGTCATTTTTAACAGTGGTCAACTAATGGTAAAAGTTAATTAAAAATTATTTAAACATTAAGGGGACAAATTGTTCAATTTTAAACCAGAGGGTCCTAATTGAAATAAGACTCAAAGTTTAAGGTAATATTTTGTAATTAACCCTAATTAATTTTGATCCTCAATCTTTATTCGGAGGCATTCGGTCAAGGGGAGGGTTATCACCCCCCCCCCCCCCCTTCTCTCCCCTAGCCCGGCCATTGAATGAAGTAATTTCAAGTGAACTTATCCGAAACATATTCATCCTTCATTAAAATTAAAGTGTTTAACATTAAATAATCTGTTACTGACCTATAGTATTTAAATTTCTATCGCGTATAATCAAATCATATTTCAATCTTAACTATAAACCCATGTTGTAATATTTTGTTGCGTATGATTCTTGATATTTACACACCGAGAAATTTCCAACACCAAAATGATAGCATGTCTCACCAACTTAGGCAAGTAATACATTCTACCTTTTAATTTGGGCATACTTCAATCTATTTGGCATCATGGTTGTTGAGACAGATATAGCAATCAAGTATTTGAATTCGAACCCGACGATTCATTATAGTGACAATTGTTTTACCCAACCCATCACATGTTGTCGGATTTATATCCAATTAGTATGTTTTCATATCTCCGAATTGGAAGATATAGTCTAGTGTTTGAGCTTTTAAAAAAAAAAAGAAAAGAAAGTGCTAGATATTATTACTCCTATTTTGAAGAGATAAATTATCACGCTCAAACCCGTAAAATAATATTTGACTAGATAAAAATGTATATCATTGTTTTGAAGTCCGATATGTATACTTACATTATCTCTTTGTAACTTACGTGCTCCTTGTTTTCAACAGGACTGGGTCAAAGGATGACCCTTGGCAAAGCATACAGGAATTTTTGGGTTTGTCTTCACACTAACAAAAGAATCAAAAGCAGGCTTCTTTATCTTTAAACTATGTTAAGGGACACCATAAAAGCTTCTAGCCTGCCATATGGAAAGGGTATACAATTTTAGTTTCGTAGCAAGACTAACTTACCAGAAACGTCGAAATTTATAATTTTTTGAGGTTAAGTTACACTTTTTTTAGATAAAAATTACATCTAAAAAACTGATGGAAGTTATATTTCTAAGTGTAAAGTTATTATTTTTTGACGTGAAGTTATACTATTTAAATTTAAAGTTACCCCTAATTAAGAAATATTTATAATTTTACTTTAAAAAAATATAATTTGATCTGACAAAATAATAAGATACAATACCAAAAAAAATTTTGAGTACCGTAGAATTTCCCTTAGTTTCAACTTAGTTTTTTCATTAGAATTGTATTGGGCATTCAAGTCAAAACTGTCCAAATTCATTGAATCATCATAGATTATCGTCAAATCAGATAAAATATTCCGCTAATTGTTTTACCTTATTGGTAGTTTATCACTTCAATATTGTTTCCATAAGAAGATACGGACACCCACCTACATAAACACACATTTGGGCATATTAATTAAAAGGTTAAATATAAATTAAAAGTCTTATTGTAGTTAAAAAATATTAAAATATCAATTATAAAGTTAATCGTTAGATGTAATCGATGTGAATCGTTAATATGCTTTATGTTTCAAAAAAATTCCTGTTTTATTATGAAGATTTTATGTGTATATATACACATATGCATATATACAAACACTCAACCATACATATTTATGTTATATGTACATGCATCAAGCTTAGAATTCTTAACTTCGCTCGACCCATAGTTTCGGTTGTCATAGGGAACATAGTGACAGCATAATAACCATAAAGCTTGTTTGGATGCAAGTTTTAGTTGGCAACTATCCTTAACATAGCTTTATCTTATTGGAGTCTCCCATTTTTATGACTAAGTCATACATTGTCACCATCTAAATGCACAAATGCAGTATTACCATTAACAAAATTGGATACAAATTACTCCTATTATATTTTTTTCTAGGTATAATTCATACTTGAAGTCATGATAAGTGAAAAGTGATAAATTTAAAAAAAGGAGGAGAAAATTCAATGCGAATGATTTTGATAAAAATGTTAGTAACTATTAGATAAATCTATTTGAGACCGTCGAATAATTTTATTAAAACCTGCCATATTTTATATTATAAATTAACAATTCATCACTTGTCATGAATTAAGCAAAACCCATTATTTATAAAAGGTTTCTTCATCTTTACACGATGAATAGTATCCTTGAGAGATGTTTTTTTAAAAAAGAAGAAAAAAGTATGGGTTCAAAATAGAATTTGACCAAGATAACAAGCATATTCTGTAGAGGCTAGCAACCGGAAATCAGCCATTGGAAACCAAAAAAAATAAAGAATCATTACCTAGAGAAATACATACCTAACATTTATAATATAAAACAATACAGGTTACAGTAAGCTCATCCGACGGTCTAAAATAGACTCATTCAACGGCTACCATCATTCGTCTTAAAATATTCACATTATACTGTACTTTCAGATACGGATTACCCCTAATTTGATATATGACACGAAATAATTACCCTCTTTTTCTTTTCTTTTTTTATCAGAATTACCATCATATTCAAACCCATAATGCGACATTGTTAGTAACACCCTTTAGTATTCCAAATAATGGCCAATTATTAAAGATACTATTAACAAAAATCAGGATCAAGGGCTTGTTGGATCTTGTTAAAAAGTTTTATCTTCTGGGAAGAGTATTAAACATAATCCTGCCATGGAGGAGATGATTCCTAGGAGAACCAAAGATCTTTTCCCTTGGTATTACACGAAATATTGCTAAAAGGATGCCAATATAGGCCTTCTTCAATAACAAGAGCATTATCAAATCCCTGAAATTAATTTAGGTAGACATGGGAAATTTGTTGGCACTGTGCTCTTAAGAAATTCCATTGAAACTTCCTACCTTAAAAAATCGGGTCAATAGAGAACAAGGTTCAGCCTTACCAACAATATGTGGGGGAGTTAAAACATGAAAGAAGCACAAAGTAATTTTTTTTTTGCCCTCTGATGCTGATGTTAGTTCCTAGGAAGAAAACAGGGATCAGAGACCAACTACCCTACTTCATAAGCTGTATCCCTCCTCCTACAAGAACAATGATGCACAACATTTCCATGCATCAAATTTCAATGGCGAGGTAAACAGACATGACATGAGGAATGCAGGTTTCTCCAATTATTTTGCGGAATAACCAATGGTTGGACTTTGCAGCAGCGGCTATGATCATCAATTTAGCTGCAGAAAAAGGAATCATATGAGAAATGCATCCAACAGAATGAAAGACGGCAAAACTAAAGCTTAAAAATGAAAAGAATCCCCTAATGGACATACAGTGCTGAGCCCGTTTGATTGTTGTGGTCTGAGATAAGGTCCTCCAGTTCATCTATAATGGCGGCATAACAGAAGAAATATTGCTCCTAGAGAAGAGTTAGGTGTAAAAGGTCATCCAATGAGAAAGTAGGAAAAAGAAAGATAATAACATCGTAATTTCCTTTATGGGACCCATTTAATACCAGCTTTTGAATAAACATTATTGATAACAATCATCCTATACACATCTAAACAAAACATATTCCAAACAATGTTTGGCTGCCAAGAAGTCAAAAGAACAAAAAATTCAAGAAGAAAATGATGATTGGAAACATCTTGCTGGTATCTGGGGCTAAAATAGTTGTCTTGAGTCCTAAAATTCTCATGTTCTTTCTTTCCCCTTCATCCTATAGGAAATTATTAAACTTGACATTCACTTATTGGGCACACTACTGATACAGGGAACTGCTCTTCTAGGGTACTTTAGCATAAGCACCTGTGAATATTCATTAACATTAGGCAACATTTTATTCATCATAAGTGGCCATTGAGCATACACATGACCTTCATTCCATAGAATCACTTTGAGCACTAAACACTTTCCTAGATGTCAACAACCTACTTAGCTACCATCATCTATTGGCTGAACTCTGCTCATATTGTTATCAGGCAATCGTGGAATGCTCACATGTCAGCTGATTAAACCAACAATCACAATTAGAAACATACAGTAAAAAAGGAAATACACAAATATGAAGAATCAAAACCATAAATAATACCAGTGTTTGAACCATTCCAATTCGCTGCGACCTAAAAAGGGTTATGGTATTAACAAGATCCAAAGCAGACATATCTCCAGCAAGGACCCTTTGAATGGTATTATGAATCGTGCAATATGTTCCAGTTCTACCAATACCAGCACTGCAAAGGAGGAGAAAATATCTCAGGCATAGATTATAAACTGATTCTGGAACATCAACGAGGCATCCACCTGTTTAACAAAAATGAGCCACACCTGCAGTGCACCACTATAGGTCCAAGACTGGGTGGTAACCCATATATTCTTTTCAAAATTTCACGAACAGAAAACGTGTCTTTAGGAACTCCATGATCTGGCCATTCAGGATATTGAATGTGCAGAACAGACAAAGGTGGTTCTTCAGACTGCAATAAAGACAGATGAAAGAGAATAGTTACCTAGTTTTTCCCATTATACAGCGAGCACAAAGGTATTAGTTAAAAATTACGCAATAGGTATTCTGAGAATTAACACAGCACAATGGGGTTCCTATAATAGTAAAATCATCTGGTAACTAGCACCCTGTGAGAATTAGGAGTAAAGCTCAAGTACAAACTTGGCACATCAGTGGCTAACTTGGCCAAGGGGATGGCTTCAAAATGAGTTGTCATAGGTCCAACTATGACAGGCTTATCAGATGCACATGTTTCGCAAGTCACTATGTGCAGCCTTAGGGATTACTCTCCAACCCACAAAAGAAAATGCAGTTGGAATGCCATGTCGTACCTATAAAGCAAAATGACATTTTGTACACTAAAAGATCTTTAATTCTCAATTTACACCCTAAAAATTTAAATTCTCACATTGCACCCTCAATTAAATAAAAAAGTAGCAATGTACTACTTTTACAAATTGAGTACAAAATTTTTATGTCAAAATACTTCAAATTGAGTATTATGTAAGCAATTGTAAATAAAAATAGGATAACATAACAAACACCACAAACAAATTTATCGGACAAGGCATCAGGTATTTAGTTTTGGACCACAATGCTATATTTTATTTGATTAAAGGTGCAATGTGAGAATTTTAATATTCCAAGGTGTAAACTAAGAATTTGAGGATCTTTTAGTGTGCAAAGTGTCATTCACCCTAAAGCAAATTATTCTAAAATAGGTGATTAAACTATTCACTTACTTTAGATTGGCGAAACAAAATTCATGTAGTTGACCCCAAAAATGTTGGGACAAGGTTTTGTTTTGTTGAGTTAAGGTAATTAAACTACATAAAGTAACTTAAAATGCAATAATAATCCATTAATCATTTTTGAACCCTGAAACTAATCTATACTACTTATAAATGTCAGCATATGTGAAAAATCAATTTAATAACTAGGTTTAATAAAAATTAAAATATAAGAATTAATACTCGGACACATAAATTATTTCTTCAATTCAATTACACATATAATTTATACTTATTATAAGTTTAACAAAAAATTATTTTAAATATGTTCACATGTGCACGTTGTGTATTACTAGCCTAATTTTTATAAAACCAATTATATCCTTATACCTTCATATAATTTCTATTTTTATACGTAATTTGACTTTCAAGTTGTTTTCACTCTTTTATAGGTAGTATTTGCTTTCTAAATTCTTTTAGACTCATTTATAAGTTGTACACATGCATAAAAATTTTCATATCATGCTTATATCTATATGAAGAAACAAAGACGAATCTATATTATATTGTTATATACATATAGTTATCAAATTGGATTCTAAAATGAAATATATGTTATATTTAATTTTTTTTTCAATAATTTGGTTTAACAAGAAATAAAATATAGATAATTTTTTTGGCACCAAATTTATCATTTAATTTAATTACACATAAAATTTATATTTTAATAAATTCAACAAAAAATTTATTATTTAAATTATTCACGTACAACGCGCATCGTGCATTGTTAGTCCTACAAACATGATGCTTAGTATATTCTATCTACATAGAGGTCTTTATAAACTTTGGCCTCTCCTTCCCTCCTAAAAAAAACCTTTATTTAAAAGTATTTGTCCATCACTCTTTACTTACTGATACAGAAAAATTTGTGTGAAAATTATCTGTGTCTTTCTTCTTGTTTTTGTTAAAGTGTGTGCAACTCAAAATGCAGACTGCTAGATGTAGCTTTTTCTATTATCCTGGCGCATGAGACACGGAGACCCTTGTATCATACCCAAAGACAATGGACCAGCAAAAGGAAAGTGGAGCCAATCTCCGGGCACCAAGGGTGTGAAGATTTGGCACCAAGAGTATGAAATTTGGCACTATCAGTGTCAGCCTTTCAAAAGGTCTGACATAATACATTGGCATGCAGCACAATGCAAAGGTGGAGAAAATAGATTGTTAAGAAAGCATTGCACCCAACAAAGAATATTGAAGATGATTTACTGCCTTTAACCAAATGGCAAACGCAAACACAAACACAAACACCAAGTGAAAGTGATGGGCAAACAAACATACACGCAACAAATCCCGAGCTCCCCCCTCCCCCGCGAGGTGAGAGATGGATTATGCAGTAATGATTCATCTATTATTATGGCAGGCATATATATATATATATAGGGTTTTCCAAAGAAGTTCCGATCTGGCAACTAAAAAAATTGCTCTCAAAATTTTCAAATCATAAAAACTATAAAATTGCATAAATTAATCCTAAAATTAAGCTGAAATCAAAACTAACTCTAGGTTTTGCACCTAGCAATCTTGGTGGTCAAGATAGCATCTAAAGTTGGATGAGTCCACTTGATAAGATCTCTCAGGACCCACCACATGAAAGTTGTCAATGTGATCCTCAAAAACGTCATGAAGGTGGTTCATACATTGCTATTAAAGTGGTGGAAACATTAATATCGATGCTTGAAAAGTCACACTAGCATTAGCAGCACCTGCTGGAAATGTGGGCTTAGGAGGTGTGCTCTTTTTTGCTTTTTTTTTTTTTGGGGGAGGTGGGGTTGCTTGTCAGTCTTCTTCTGCACTTAAGATCAAGGATCAAAATTTCGTTTTAGCACATAGTTTTGGTCAGCTTGGACAAAGAAACATCTCAAAATTGTATCAAAAACATTCCAAAAACAAGATGCAAACAAAGAAAAAAATTGAAAATTTGTTTCTAAAACAATGATGGAAACATATCAAAACAAGGCGAAACAAATCAAATCACCTCAAAAAATAGAAACTTCAATATTCAATCGTTGATTCTTTTTGGTTTCAATGGAAATAGAAACATTTCCGACCTTTTAACCATTTTAAAACGAAATTTAGTTCATTGCCTAGGGCAGAGATCCAATTTGTTTGGGCCTCAAAAGTGATTGGGAAAATATGTCCGACACGGCTACAAGTATCTTGAATAGTGAACTCGGTCAGATATGACAAGGATACGACCAAGTCACGACCAATACAAGAGATTTGATGTGACTTGGCTCATCATCCTATACTCACGAGGTAGGAAAATTGAGTCATATTGCTGCTTGTCCCTCAATTGTAAAACTCTGTGTGTTTATAGTTACATAAATAATAAGTTGTATGTGTTGCATGTATAAACCATTAGTTAGGAAAAGAATAACTAGGCGTTGGAGTGGTATTTGATCTATAACTTGTTAGTTTGAGATTGGATCGATCTAAAATTTTATATTAAAAACTAAATCCCAAGAGACACCAAAGTGTATTTCACAAGGAGTTCGTGAATCAACTTCTGGATGGGGAGTTGAAGCGGGGATCTAGATGCACATTCAAATGCCAATTAGTCCCAGTATTTTACTGTTCGATAGAAATCTTGACGAAATATTGGGAGTAAGACACATTTGAACGCAAAAATCTCCGTTCGAACACCACTTGGTTACAGTACTTTAATTTCCAACAGAAACTCTTAACAAAAATTGAGATACTGGAAGTAAATCACGTTCAGACGCAAACCACGTTCGAAGTTACATTGTAACGCCAAATCCACGTTCGAATGAGATGACAGTTACAACAGTGACTCGCATAAACTGATCAGAGACTAACCCTATAAATACTTAAGAATGCCTCCAGCCATAAGTTATCATTTCTAAACCCTAGAAAACCTTAGAGAGTGAGGGAGGAGGAGAAAAGACAAGAATCCGAAAGTTTTTACACGGAGGAGACGAATCAAAGTGTAGAAGTTTCATCTTTAAACGTTGGATTGAGGTAGGGGTTCTTCCTAAATTTATTTATTGAGGTTAGGATTAATATATATGTATGTTTTCATCTCCAAATCATATGTATATGAGAGATAATAATTAAATCTTGTTACTCTTGTAAATTGTAGCATGTTTTGGATGAGTTATCATTTGATGGCAATGAAATTTCCATTCTTGTTATCAAAATCCTAATTTTCAAGAAATATATAGGTTTTTCACACGATACTTCTTTGTTCTTGGTTTGGAAAATTCTAATATTCAGTTTGAACAATAAAATTATATTTCTTGATGATCTCTTGCTTGTTTTCTCTAATTATTTCTTGAGAAAGTCATTTGTGAAATTATGATGATTGGGTTATATGTGAATCGATGAATTGGTTGGATATTATCTCTTGTATGGGTGGTTGATGCATGTGGGTTACCTGTAATCGGATATCGTAGAGTATTTAGACGTTGTATGGAACCTTGAGATGTACCATAGTTTCCTATCACTCATAGTGGGTTGGTTCCTTGCGGGGTTCCAAACACTGTACATTCACGGCAGGTAGCCAACGGTCGAGATTGAGGGTTGGTATATCATAATCTTAAGAAGAATTCGTCCCCCCTGATGCATCGACATACACCCTTCCTAAAGTGTCTTGCTGGGCTGGGTGTATTATTGAGAAGGTGAAATTTTGTGGGCCAAGATATTCTCATTGTGTAGATTCACCGTAGTCAAGCCTACTTACATGAGATACATTGTTAATATTGTTTTATGATTGAAAATTGGGTTGACTTCCTACTTGTTTTATTGTGTTATGTAAACTTGAGATCTTATAAACGTCTTTGTTTTGCTTTAAATATTATATGTTATTTTGTAAACGAAGAACATCCTGTTTTTATATATTCTAAAATCTTGTTCGAGATTTTAGAAAGATGTTGCTACAGAGCTCAGTGCTCACCCCATACTATTAACATTTTACAGATTTCGGTCTAGAGGAAGACCTTAGATTGGATAAACATATGGATTGGGAAACCCAGATTGGAGAGGATATAAATCTTGAAGTGGATGTCTAGAGTTATTCTTTTATGGTTTAGATTTGCAAGTTTATTTTAAGACAAAGTTAAAGATAATGTTAGTAGTATTCCGCTGCAATTCTTATTTGGTTTGAGAATGTAATTGAAGGTTTTAATTACTTATTGTTGGGATTGAGTTGGTTATTTAAACATCCTTTAGTCAAAATGTTTTGGGAATAATGTTATAATTAGTTTTTAGATGTAATTGCCAAGGTTTGGCATATTTATTTTGGACTATGCCTAGTGATTATGGATGATGAATGGAATTCTTCTTTTTATTTATGGATATATTAGTTGCTTTCATGGAATGAATGGATTATAGATAATAATGCCTTCCTAGGAAGATTTTGGAGCGTTACATCAACATCTTATCAGCTCATATTCATAGGACCATG